TACTTGAGATAAACTCAACATTTGTCGTTTGGTAATCTAATAAATGGAAACTGCTTTCTCTCTCCATACCTGTCCACTGAAAAAACTTTTATTTATACAGTGCTGGTATATGAATGGGTCACAGAAATTTTATTAATTAGTAGAATGATACATAAATAAATTTAGTTAAGTTCAATTTATTTAATACCTAAAAATTAACTCTTTAAATACAAGTAATAATAAATAAAGCAATATTTATTATAATTACTGATCTGAACTGTACTGTAATTTATAGCACTGTATAAAATCATGCATTTGCTTTAAAGTCATTTAAATATGTAATTTATATAATAATTACAAAACACGGCTTTTAGTTAAAAGCTCTTTATAGTATGCAAATGGTTTGTTAATTCATTAAACCATTGGATTGTAAAACTAATTAATTAAACGTTTATTTAATAAAAAGAGCGCTTTTTCTAAGTAAATGGGAATATATTTTAATCAAAATTAATGAAACAAACAATGAATAAAATAAATTAAATTTTCTTTTAATTCATTAACAATTAAGTCGTGAAATAATTTTCTAGCAAATATTTTTGTATTAATATTTCTAAAAACTAAACAAAAAACTACAAAGATCTAATCGATTCTGGTATTTCAAGTTTCAAATAAATTAAAACTGATCCCCAGTTGACAGCGTTTTGTTTGTATTCACTTTAAATAGGATTTGAAGAATAAAAATATAATTTCGAAATAAGTGTTTGAAATAATAGTGGTTTAGATTGAGCACAATTAGTGAGCAGTGTATTTTATATTTGTCATAAATTGAAAATTGATTTCAAGTGACAGTCACTCGAATGAGTTGTCATAAAAACAATTATTTACTAATAAAGTGATAGAAAGTTACATAATATAATAGTAAATGGTATGACTTATTGAATGAAACGGTTGTGTGAAGGGAACGGCAGTTACATTGTTCTCACAATAGGTTGGGTTTAATGAAAGGACGTGATTAGAGGTGACGGCAATAACTGAATGTTTGGTCTATTCTTGTGATTGCATTGTTGGGTCACATCTCCGACAAAGTCATGAGAGCGTGAAATGCAATCACTATATAGAGTGAGTTAATGGCAATTACGATGGTCTGAGTAAATGGCTTACAATTCATTAGAAGACAATTATCTTCTTCCTAAACACGTGAAAATCAATTTTCGAGTCAACAAAACTAATCGCTTAACTAAACCATTGCAGCCAATGGTCTGGCAATGTTCGGCAATAACGATAAACGTCTGATAAGAGCATTCATTCATTTAGTTTTTCTTATTATAATTCTCTCGATTGCCTCAAAAGGTAATTACTTTGCGTGTAATCATTAAGTAAAAGTGCGATAGAGACTGATTTGCACGAACGAACCGCCCTTTTTACACCATTTATATATATGAAAAGGACGGCCCGTTTCACACATGTGTGTAAATTGTGAGATAAAGAAAAGTCCAAATCACGACTCAAATGAATATTTCCTTTAAAATGCTTTTTCAGTAGTCTTTCTCCTCTTTTCACATATTTAGAGGCAATAACACAAACACCACTTCTCTCTGAGCACTGGGACCGTAGCCGAGGAGTTGGAGTTGAGATGAAATGTTGGCCCAAATTGTGTTACGCCCTGACTCTAAGCCAAGCTATATATCTATGAGACCTGAGTTTCGGCAATAATTCTTCAATTATTACTCAAATTGTTGAGCTCTTAGGCACTGGTGTTGCACATTATCTCCACATTATTCCCACTAATAAGTTCTCTTTTAGGCATTTAGTCAACCGACTGGCCATTGGGGAGACCTATTCGCAACATACTGTACCCATACAACTGATAGCTCATTGACTAATTTAATAAATAAATTGTTTCTGTTTTGCTTCAAACCGAGAGGCATTGCAAACGTATGGAAAGGTATGGAAAGGTATGGAAAGGCATGAAAAGCAGGTGCACTTCGCACTCATATAAATAAATTATATCCGAAGAAATATTACGTTAAAATAAGTTTTAATTTGAATTTTCATGATTTTGGGTTTTTATCGTTTCAGATATTTAATGAATTATTGTTTTTCCCTTAAAACGAACGATGAATTATAGAGTAATGAGAATTGTTTTAAAATTAATTTTTATATATTCTTTATAACGTATTCAATAACAAAATGCCATTTTTGTCATATTTATTCTTGTGATAAACAATTTTCAATATTCAATAATCAATCAAAAGGCAATCTATAACTAACACGATGTCGGAGTTCCTTCATGTGCTTCCCTTTGAACCGGCATTTGATTGTATAATATATTTATGAGAGAACTAAACAACACATTGTATTACTTCTATCTAATGGCAAAACTATCGGAATTTTGCATTTGTGTTGAGGCCTACACTTCACTACTTCCTTACACTCAAGAATCATACTTTACATATATATTGATATAGTGTTACATTAAGTATAACGTATATAAGGTTAGAATTGGCATCATTTTCATTAATTCAAAACTATTCCTTAATACTGATCCTTAAGTTATGTAACATTCAACTAAACATTAAGTTATAGAATATGTTTCAGTCCAACAAATTCAGTTCTTTTATGATCAGTGATATATTACGGTGTGATAAACAACAAGTAGATTTTCAACCAACCAATCACATGTCTATGGATTATAATTTATTCAATTCATATGTAAATCATACAAATGATTATAAAATATATAATAATAAGTCACAAAACTATTACACATTAAATGATTCCATCGATAATAATTCTGGTAAAAGAAATAAACTTTTTATCAAATTTTTGTTTGTCTTGCGAGAGAGAGAGAGAGAGAGAGAGAGAGAGAGAGAGAGAGAGAGAATAGTGAATAATATGAATGTTGTATTACAGAGGGGATGGTTGAGTCAGTTGGATGTTCGGGTCCGACAGCATCGACGATAGTATGGCAACACTATCTGTTACGACAACGTATGCTAATGCAGGCTAAGCCTCGAAAAGGCGGACAAATTAGGTTTACTTCGGAACAGAGCGTGAGTTTGGAGCGAGAGTTCGGTCGACAGAAGTACTTATCGCCGATCGAGAGGAAGAGTATTGCCTCAGATTTAGGTCTCTCTGAGCGACAAATTAAGACTTGGTTTCAGAACCGAAGGGCCAAATGGAGACGTTGTAAGCAATTGAGTGGAGATGGAGACGAAGATAAACACATTTTGTTTAATAAATACAAAGACACGCATTCATGCAGTCGTGACAACGATAATGACGAGCCATACGAGTCCTCCTGCCATCCCTATCAGTGCCAAACTAACTCACATCCCAATGATGTTAGGGTAGACTTTAGACTTATTAACTTTACATAATTTTGTATCAACTTATTTATACATTTTTTAATTTATTGCATAATTTCACTCAACTGATCGTAAATATGATTTTGCAAACACTCAGAAAAATCAATTTAATTTTCACAACTCTTATCGATTGTATACGAGATTACTTGAAAACATTAAACGATTAAAACATTAGAATAAATAATTAATTTGTATTTTCTTATTAAATAACATTGATATGAATTCTAAATAATTTGCATTAAATTACTTATTGATTAAATCGATGATTAATTTTAAAGCGTTTCAAACACACCGTATTATAACTAACATTACATCGAGTTTTGGTAATGAATTTCATATAAAATATTAATAACATATAAATTATTTTGAAAAGTATTCATAATTGGATTTTTAGATAAGCTATTTCGTAATTAAAAAACCAAAGTTTTAAGTGTTATTTGATTACAGTATTTGTGATTAATATAATGTTATAATTGCTTTAGTTTTAAAGTATAATATGATTCTTAACATACTGGTTATCCATGCTTTAAAATAATTTAAAATTACCTTAATTCATTAATAATACAAATCAATATAAAATACTATTTGTTTTTATATTTAAACACTTAGAGATAATCTCTTATGTAATGAGGTTTTCAATTATAAAACGTTACAAGTTTTTCAAATCAAAGACTTCGTAATGTATGTTATATTTCTATCTAGTATTTCTAATATATTTTAAGTTCAATAATTGAGATAAAATAATAGATTGAATTAAACGATACACTTATTGAAAAATAATTGCATTTTGAACATTCTCTCACACATTGAAGTTTAAGTGACACTAATAGAGGCAAACAATGAGATTCTATAGCCTATAATAACAGCCTCTTTAATGTAATAATAAAGCTCCTGATATATCATTAAACTATAAACTATATTATCCTTTAAATTGCGAGAAATTCTTTATATCCGGAATAGATTTGACGCTATTTTTAAAAAAATCATTTAAAGAAAGCATTAGTGAACGAATATTAAGCGTTAAATCATATAAATTAATATTTGTTTAAAGTTATCGATTGAATGCTTTCCTATTTTTTATGCCTTATATCACAGGATATGCTTTGTATTGACTTTAAGTTTATATTTTATTTATTATTATTATTCTATAGTTTATAATTTGCGATAAAGTTTTAGTTTAATGTATGATCTAATCGATTATTCCTATGATTGAGACAAAGCCGGGAATATCAAGAGATTGTATGAGAGGCGGGTGGGCAGGCATTGACCAAGATTATTTATGGCTAAAATTATAACCATCTTATAAGTTAAATGTATTCAATTAAATATAATTAATTAATATTACTTTTATAACATTATGCCTTAAATTATTAAATTAAAAGATTGCTATAATAAACATTAACTCTATTTGTCTATTAATTATAAGTTTATGAGTTTTATATTTTAATAATAAAATAAAACACGAAAAATGACAATTAATTTAACAATTTCAGGTGTTATTCACATATTGATTTATGTGTAAATTATATGATTCTGTGAAATAGCTTACACTACACCCGGTTGGTTGCTTCAAAACATTTGTACATTTTTTGGTCGTCAAGTCACATAAAGTTAGATCACTTTCTCTATTAGGAAAAGTAACTCAATTTAAAAGTATATATTTAAAATTTATTCTTATATTAAATAAGAAGTCCATTCAAACAATCTATTCATTTAACAGCTCAATAATAGGTGAGAAAAATATATTAATATATCATTCAAATCAATATAATGTTATCTCTTTTTATAATTGTAATAATTAATGTATTGTAAAAGATTATTTTAGTTAAACAAAAGGCAAATTTACTAGAAAATATTAAATAATTTTTATTTATTACTAGATTTATAGTATTATTTAAGTATGAAAATAAGGTGATTACTCTGATTGGCACTTCAATTAACTATCAATAGTATACAAAGGCTACTTGGTCATATTTAGAATTTAGCCAAATTAATTGAACATGTCTATTATTCTAGGCATACTGTAGGGGAGTAGACTATCACAGAGTATAGAATCTATACAATAGATGTATGTTGATAATATGACCTATGTTCTATGCTAAACAATTATAAAACATTATGAAATCCAGATCTAGGCCTGTTTTAGAAAATTGTTTTAGTTCCAACACAATTGTCAGTAAAACGAGCTAGTTTATTTCGAGAGCAAAATTATATTTGATTACCAAAATTGTATTTAAAGTTTCAATTTTCAAGTATAATGATTATTACAATACTGTAATACATACACGTAATTATTGAATGCGTAAATGTGTTGACGTTTGTATACACGTGTATCGACTGGCAGTGAGTACTAGTCGTGAGATTTAAATGAGAAAATGTGTCAACAAATAGACATTAATTGACGTCTCATTTGAATCAATGTTTTGACACTAATCTCAACATTGATTTCAATTGTTATGAACTGATGGCAAGTGTTGGACACCAATGAGTGAACACAAGTCATCGTTCGCCACATTTGTGGTCATCTTCACCTCTCTGGTGATGGATCTGTTGGCCTTTACAGTGATATTGCCGTTAATGCCATCCATTCTCGACTACTACTCCTCTAATGATCAGGTATTCAATGAACACATCCAACACATCCATTGTCTCATTGTCTTTATGTCATCTCAAAGAGTGGTTTCTTTGGTTGGATTGAATCCAAAGTACAGATAAGTCAACGACTCATAGGAAGTCCTCAAGAGTTCAACAAAGGTATGAAACAGTGATTTGTGTGACAATGGACTCAAATATTATGTCAATTGTAGTGCTATTTGGAGGTCTAATTGGATCCTGGTTTTCATTACTTCAATACATATCCCAACCAATAGTGGGCTCTTTGTCTGACATTTACGGCCGAAAACCACTTCTATTGCTGTGTTTGACCGGAATCTCCATTTCATACCTCTTTTGGAGTCTATCGTCTGAATTGTTCACAATATTCCTCATCTCCAGAACCATCGGTGGCTTAAGTAAAGGCAATATCAGTCTGAGTACAGCCGTTGTGACCGATGTGTCCGATGAGTCCAATAGAGGCAAAGGAATGGCTTTAATTGGGATCTCGTTTTCGGTTGGATTTATTGTAAGACATATCGAGGGTTTGGTTCGCATTTGGGATCAAATAATTGCTAACAATTGAATGCATTGACAGATTGGACCCGTTTTGGGCGCCTCTTTCGTGATGTGGTCGCGATCTGCAGACGCGCACCACTTCTTCCAGTTATGGCCGGCTCTCTTCGCGCTCACCCTTTCTCTCATTAATGTGAAGAAGTAAACCGCGACAAAAGCGCTTAGCGAAGGTTGGTTATTTTCTCATAAGTAAACAACATATTTTTACAAAAAGTAGATTTAATACTAAATATATAATTTCCGGGCAAGCAACCCTAGCCCTGAAAGGCAGGCACTGGACTTCATGAGCCCATTGTCGCTGTTCTCATTCCGTCCGGTTATGAATACCAAAGACTTAGGTATTGAATACAATCGACAATTTAGTGCTTATATGACAGGATGTGTTGGCAATCAGTTTGATGTTGTGTTCATGTATTCAGATTTATCAGTACTAAAGCGTGGAAGTCGTCTTTACTTCCTATTCCTCTACTTATACTCCGGTCTCGAATTTACGCTCACATTCCTCACACACTTGCGATTTAATTACACCAGGTTTTCATGATAACTGTCTCTCATGTAAATCCTTTTATTAATTACCGTACAATATGTTTGCCATTCAGTGCACAACAGGGAAGGCTATACTTGTACGCCGGACTTGTAATGACTTTAATACAAGGCTCGTATGTCCGCAGAATTAAAGCCGGAAACGAATTAAAAACAATACTTTATGTGAGTTTTTATTTAGTTTATAGTGAAGTTATTTTAATTTATCAATTATATTCATTTAAAGGGCATTTCAGCAATTATTCCGGCATTTGTTTTGATTGGTTTGGCTTCCAATCAAATTCAGTTATATATTGGACTCACTCTTTACGCGTATTCTTCGGCAACAGTTGTTCCGTGTCTGACAACTGTTGTCTCCAAATACGGTCCGCCCGACCAGAAGGGAGTAATTCTCGGCATATTTAGATCAATAGGAGCTCTGGCCAGAGCTTTAGGACCCATATCCGCGTCTTTAGGTATTTCTGTTCACAATATTTTCAAATTCATTATAATAATTGGTTTTTTGTTTTTTAGTATTTTGGAGATTTGGTGGATCCGTTTGTTACTGTTTTGGAGCACTTCTATTGATATATCCACTTGTGATGACTATTCAATTAAAGAAAATCGTTTCATTAACTCAATCCAAGAATTCGTGACTTTTAACAAACATTTGACTTTATTTGAAGCAATACTTACTGATATGATCTTTAACAATATTTTTAATACAAATATAGGCTTTATTTATATTTTTAATTACCGGTAATTTAAATAATTTTAAAAATAATTGCAATAAATTAGTGATAAACCAAGAGATTCGCAAAAAAAGGATATTTATTGTGATATATTTTCAGATTTATATAAATTGTAATATTTATTAATAATATTGATTTGAATTAAAGTTTGATTATAAGAGGAGATCTGTTTAATTGAGTCTCAATTTATGCTTCAATGTCTCGTTTAAGGCGATTGTCTCACTATAACTGATGATTAGCTTAATTGTTGTCTTCAGTTGACAATCGATTCCCGAAGATTTGGTCTCTATTTTCCTTAAATTGAATTGTTTAGTGGTATTGAAGAGTTTGAATAATTGTTGCAATTCATGGATTCGTGAAGTCTTTGCTCTGTATTTGTTGGGTTCATTGGATTGACTGAAGAAGTGCTCAAAAGGGTTGTCAGAATGAAGAAAGAGGTCGCAAATTGGATCAAACTTTTGTTGCATTGCCTTTAATATGGAATAGCTTTCGGTTATAATAACAGAGAATTGGGTCTTCATTTGGACCACAAATGGTCTGATGAGACAACTGTCCGATCGATACAATACACTCAATACGAGAACTGATATGCATTTGATGTCCATTTGATGACCACTTTTGAAATCATTGGATAAGATATAATCAAACCCAAAGTACTTCTTAATAAACCTCTCGACCACTGAATAGATTTTGTGAGCAATATATCTGTGAACGAGAGTCAGGTCTATGCTATCAATGGATACATGAGTGCCAGTGTTGTGTGGATTGCCATTAGAGGTGATGTCCATAACTGTAATCCATTCGCATTTAATGATCAAAAGACACAGATATATACCATCTCTTAATTGTGACAACGAGTGAATGGGAGCCTTGGGTGCGACCATTGAGTTGATGACACATTTGATGGCTTCAATCACTTCTGCGGACATTTGAGTGTCTTTGAGGAATGCTTTAACAAATTCATTCAATTCATATCAAATATTTTACAGCCCATTGATGCCAACTCTCAGCTATTGTTTTCACATGAATTTAAAAATTATCTGGTTCGTTTGAAAATTTTTATAATTTAATCACAACCCAAGGAATATTTTGTGTTAACGTTTAAACTTTAAACTATAGTTAGTTATCAAATTTGTACGCAATATTTAAAATTATTAAACACTAATTTATAAATATTAAAATTTATAAGGTAAGATTA